CTCCTGAGGTAACCATTAATCTCTCCCCTGGGGGAATCCAGGGACTAGCCCTTTGAGGGGCAGATGCTGGAGAGAATGGAGGAGCACGTAGAGGAAGGCCCTGAACTTGGGGAGCAGAAGGTCCTGATTGACAATCCTGCTGATATTATGGTCATTGCTGCGTATTTCCTGCTGGTCATTGGTGTTGGCTTGTGGGTGAGAAGTTGAAGGGGTTTTAATAGGAAGCTGCCTCCGGGGTTTGAGGGTAAAGATTTAAGGAGACCTCAGAGAGGGGTGGGAGGAGGGTGCCTGGATATTTGAGGGAGAAACCTAGGTCCAGCAGGCAAGCAGATCTTTAATTCGTTGTCTTCATACCTTCTGGATTGTGCAAAAGAGGGTTGGGGGATCAGTGGGTTTTCATTAAGCTCAGCATTCTAAATGAGTCTGTTTCCCTGTCTGCCTGATGGCTGAGCAGGGCCTGGGCTGTTCGGAGCATCTGGGAGGAGGTTAGGGGTGAGGGGATAGACAATCTGGGGAGCCGAGTGCTGGTTAATCTTCAGCCAGAAACAAGGCTGAGGAATGTGGTGAGGAAGCTAATGGAGTCCAGAGATGTGCCCCAATCCCAGTACCCCCCCCCCTTTCCCAGTCCATGTTCAGAACCAACAGAGGCACAGTTGGTGGCTACTTCCTGGCAGGACGAAGCATGGTGTGGTGGCCGGTGAGAGAGGCTGGGCCGGGGGATGGGAGGGACCCTGGAGGAACAGCCCAGCTCACCCCCATTTCTCATGCAGGTTGGAGCCTCTCTGTTCGCCAGCAACATCGGCAGCGGTCATTTCGTGGGCCTGGCAGGGACCGGTGCAGCGAGCGGCTTGGCTGTGGCTGGATTTGAGTGGAATGTGAGGTCTTCTTTTCTAGAATAACCCACCCCAGGGGACACTCCTGGAAAGATCATACTGTAGGGAAGCTCCTGGCATGGGGATAGGAACGAGCTGGAACAGCCCAGTTGGGGCGCGAGGTCGGACTGGGAGCAAGGATCACGTGCTAGCTTCCAGGCAGCAGGGCACAGGCAGGCCCTGCTCCTGAGTTTCTGTAGCATCAGCATCAGTCCTCGGTGGGCCCTGACCCACGTGCTCCACTCCAAAGTGGGGCAGGAGGTCACAGATGGAGTACCTGTCCCGATGTTCTCTGACGCTGTGGGCATCCCTAGACTGAACTGAAGTTCTTTGCAAGAACAAGGAGACCAAGCCCTGGGCCTGGGTTCACCTTGGAGGGTTGGAGAGATGAGTTTGAGCCTTCCAGCATAAAGTTGCTGGGTGGGTGAAGGAGGAAGGGCAGCTCCGCCCAGCAGATGCCGGGGACCGTCTGAAAAGTCTGCACACACAGGTTCATTTGCTAGAGAGGCAGGGAGGGGCGGTAGAGACGTTCCTGGGAGAGATGGACCGGCAGCGCCAGGAAGATGCCCAGATTCTGTTCCCTGCCTGCCGGGGCCCAGGCTCCTCCGCTGTAGTCCTCTGGGTCGTGGGTGTGAGGACAGGCCTGCTTAGGACGCTAAGACAGAGTCACTCTGGCTGTCACTTGTTCCCGCAGGCGCTCTTCGTGGTGCTGCTCCTCGGCTGGCTCTTCGTGCCTGTGTATCTGACGGCCGGCGTGATTACCATGCCTCAGTACCTGCGAAAGCGCTTTGGCGGGCACCGTATTCGCCTCTACCTGTCGGTGCTCTCGCTTTTTTTGTACATCTTCACCAAGATCTCGGTGAGCACGTGCGGTGGGCAGTACAGACTCTTCGACAGGTAGACCCACCAATGAGGTCTCAGAGACCTCTGGAGGGGGCGGGACCAAGGAGAAGAGCAAGGGGGAGCACGAGGGGGAGGGCCTGGAGAGAGCAGGTCTCCAAGGCTGTGGGCAGTGGAAAACTGGGAAGACCAGGCCATTGAAAAACGAGTGGACTTTCGGGGTGGGGCCACATAGGATGGGTGGTTTCGGGGGCAGGAGGCCGATCTGGGTCACTGCCTTTGCCGCTGATCTATGTGTTTGCTCTCTCCTGAAAGGTGGACATGTTCTCCGGGGCAGTATTCATACAGCAGGCCCTGGGCTGGAACATTTACGCTTCTGTCATTGCCCTCTTGGGCATCACCATGATTTATACTGTGACAGGTGGCTGCACGCGAGAGGTGGTGGGGAGGAGGGGTGCTCAGTGGTGGGAAGAGAGAGCTGGCCTGGAACGGAAGTGGGGGAACAGGCAAGTGGGACAGAGAGATGTGGAAGTGTGACATAGTCCAAGTGGAGTCAGATCTGTGGAAAACAAAGCCGCTTTCTTCCAGTGTCCCTGGGACTGGATTGAAAGGTCAGACACCCGGCTAGTACTGGGTGAGCCTCCAGAGTGAGAATGAGGGAAAATTCAGCAACGCCTGCCCTTCTTGCATGTCAGAAGAGTTGACTTGGTCAGTCTCCTAGACCTTTGGCTAAATCCAGTGCAGTTCCCGGATCCCGGATCCCGGATCACACAGTGAATGGGTAGAATGGTGCCAAAGTGGGCCTGGAGGCCTACTGCAGGATAGGATGTAAACAGGGCTGGTCTTGGAGGAATCATCCCCGACCCACTACCCAGTATCCAGTTGCGAGAACAGACCAAGCAGTGTATTGTGGGAATCTGGCACCACACGGATTCCCGGCCAAGAAAGTATTAAGTCTGTTTTCTGGTGCCCAAGTATACAAGGCTAGCACCAGTTTTTATAGAATTTGTCCTCTAGAACGGGTCCTTTTCTTAGTCTGGAAAACATGGTGCCGGGACCAGCAGCCGTGCTGTCCTCCTGACTCAGGCTTGTTGCAGGGGGCCTGGCAGCACTCATGTACACAGATACCGTGCAGACCTTTGTCATTCTTGCCGGGGCCTTCATCCTCACTGGTTACGGTATGGGCTTACCCCGTGTGGGCAGGACATGGGTCTTTGCTGTCACGGAGCTTTCAGTGTAGGGGCTGGAACCTTGTGTGTCTCTCCATGTGGGTCCTAAGGTGGGCCTTCACACCGGGGCCAGGTCCCTTCACGACTTTGCCTGCACAGCTTTCCATGAAGTGGGCGGGTACTCGGGTCTCTTCGACAAATACCTGGACGCAGTGACTTCCCTGACGGTGTCCACGGATCCAGCTGTTGGCAACATCTCCAGCACCTGCTATCAGCCAAGGCCGGACTCCTACCACCTACTGCGTGACCCCGTGACGGGAGACCTGCCGTGGCCTGCACTGCTCCTGGGGCTCACCATTGTCTCCGGCTGGTATTGGTGTAGCGACCAGGTGAGGTCGAGGTGTGGGGTGGTGTGTGTGCGCATGCCTGGGACACAGCCCTAAATGCCCTGTGCTGGAGTCGGGCTGAAGGCAGGGCCTGAGCTGGTGGACTCATGCCGGGGAGGACTAACAAGTCAGAAACCAGCAGGAGGATTGGAGGATGGAGATGTAGGAGGAGCTAGAGGTTGGTATGAACTGGAGTCGGGGTGATGGTTGGTGTTAAGGGGCCATGGAGCATGGAGGCGAGGCCTGCAGGGGTGAGCTACAGGGATGACCCACGGAGCTGGCCGCTTCTCACAGGTAATTGTGCAGCGCTGCCTGGCCGGGAAGAACCTGACTCACATCAAAGCTGGATGCATCTTGTGTGGCTACCTGAAGCTGATGCCCATGTTCCTCATGGTCATGCCCGGCATGATCAGCCGCATTCTTTACCCAGGTAATGTCTGCATCACACCAGGCTCAACAGTCCTGTGTCCCGTCCAGCACCCCCCCCCTCCATTTTGTGCAAAGATCCAAGTGTCTGTCTCTTATACCTGCTACTGCACTAAGACTTGGGAACCTGGCATCTCAGTCCTGCTTCCCACCAGGAGTGCCATCTCTAGGACTCCCAGCTCACAGGTCCTAGTCTTTCCTGGCCACCGTGTGGCTTCTTTCTTGCAGATGAAGTGGCGTGTGTGGTGCCCGAGGTGTGTAAGCGGGTGTGCGGCACTGAGGTGGGCTGCTCTAACATCGCCTACCCACGGCTTGTCGTGAAGCTCATGCCCAATGGTGAGGGCTGGAAGCGGGTCGCCCTTGGCCTCTTGCCAAGCCTTCACTACCTTGAACGCGCTAACGGGGCCGGCCTGACGGCTCTTGTTGGCCACAGGTCTGCGTGGACTCATGCTAGCGGTCATGCTGGCTGCCCTCATGTCCTCCCTAGCATCAATCTTTAACAGCAGCAGCACACTTTTCACCATGGACATCTACACGCGTCTGCGGCCTCGTGCAGGTGATAAGGAGCTGCTGCTAGTTGGAAGGTGTGGCCCGGGCCCCCACCCCTGCTCCACGGACGCACAGCAGAGGCTAATGGGGAAAGCGGGCGCTCGGTGAAGCCTGACTGTCTTCTGCTGCAGGCTCTGGGTGGTCTTCATCGTGGCAGTGTCGGTGGCCTGGCTGCCGGTCGTGCAGGCAGCTCAGGGCGGGCAGCTCTTCGATTACATCCAGTCCGTCTCCAGCTACCTGGCACCTCCAGTGTCTGCAGTCTTCGTGCTCGCACTCTTCGTGCCCCGGGTCAATGAGAAGGTGAGAGGGCGCGCGCCCGTGAACCTGGGTGACAGGGTCATCCTGGGAAGCTAATGCTGCTTCTCTTACAGGGTGCTTTCTGGGGCCTGGTTGGGGGCCTGCTGATGGGCCTCGCTCGTCTCATACCCGAGTTCTTCTTTGGCACGGGCAGCTGCGTGCGGCCCTCGGCGTGCCCGGCGTTCCTCTGCCGGGTGCACTACCTCTACTTTGCCATCGTGCTCTTCGTCTGCTCCGGCCTCCTCACACTTGTAATCTCCCTGTGCACTGCACCCATCCCTCAAAAGCATGTAAGTGCCAGCCCCCAGAGGAAACGGAAGACCAAACATCAACTGTGTGGGGACGGATGAACCATTTCTCCCCCCACTCCCCCCTTAGCCAGTCTGCTTCAAGGAATGCCCGCAGATAAAGACTCAACATTTCACATCAAGTGTTGGAAGGAGAAGGCAGGGAGTTGAGTATGAGGTTGTATGTCCAGGGCAAGCACATTTACTTAACTAAAGTTTCTAGGAAGCAGAGCAAATGACACAAAAATACATTGATCAGAACTTAAGACCAGCCTGAAGAAGTACAATTCTGGGTGTCAACAATTCTTGGGGTAAAGCATGGGAGTGGACAGGGCCAATGACTTAATACTAGATGAGGATCTTGGGGTTCAGTGTGGAGGCAAAGGCTACCCTGGAAAGGAGAGTCTGAGTGACCTGAGCCCAAGCAAGTGCACATGCCAGAAGAGGGAGGCTGGGCAGGGCATCGACAAAGCTGCTGTGCCAGTGTGGACCTGGCATGGAGGGCACAACTCCCACCTGGTCCCTTCTCCCTAACTCCCCAGCTCCACCGCCTGGTTTACAGTCTCCGACACAGCAAGGAGGAGCGGGAGGACCTGGATGCTCAGGAGTTAGAAAGTCCAGCGCCTCCCCCTGTGCAGAATGGGTGTCAGGAGCACGCAGTGGGGATCGAAGGTAAGGCACGCCCAGGAGCATGTCCTGGGAGGCTAGTGAGCTAACTCCCTTCAAACTAACTGTGCACTGGCATTTCTTCCAGAGGTCCAGGCCCCAGCTCCAGGCCCGCTCCGCCAGTGCCTGCTCTGGTTCTGCGGGATGAGCAGGAGTGGGTCAGGGAGCCCTCCGCCCACTACTGAGGAGGCAGCTGCAGCAACCAGGAGGCTAGAGGATATCAGGGAGGATCCCAGCTGGGCCCAGGTCGTCAACCTCAACGCCCTGCTCATGATGACCGTAGCTGTGTTCCTCTGGGGCTTTTATGCCTGAAGTCAAACGTGCTGTACACCATGCGCTGCAGCCATGGCATGTCTGCGCCTCACAGAGTGAAGGGAGGGAGCTTGCAGTGGATCGTGGAAAGGGGGCGAGAATGTGGCAGGAAGGAACTGGTTCCCTTCCTCTTTACCTGGGGTCCAGCCCATTTGATTGTGTGTCACTGCCCACAAGATGGTGACCAACTTGTTGTAGCAGTTTGCCCGTGCAAAAATAAAGCTGCCCTTCCAACATCCTGTTGAAGCCGACATGTCCTTGTTCAGGGCCCCTGTCCTGGGCTCGGGGCCCCAGCCGGGCTGCTCATGACACCTTCTTTTCTGGAGACAGAGGCCATGTGGCTCTCCACTCATTCACCTCTAGATGGTGCTTCTCCGTCTTCCAGCCAGCAGCTTGCAGCCCTAGGAAAAGGTCACAGGATGAGGCAGGGCGGAAGCTCTGGGCTGAGCCTGGGATGGGTTATGTGAGCAGAGGCACAGGCTGTGCAGCCTTTCACTCTCTATGGGCTCCCCTGCTGGCAGAAAATGGAGCTCAAGTTTCATTTGGGGAGTGAGAAATCAGCCATAGCATACGGAAAAGAGGTAGAATGAAGTAGATGCTTTAAGACTAACTAGGTTTATGGACTACCAATATCAACAGAGTGTCAGAGACCATCCTAAACTCCAATCCTGAAGGTAGGGGAACAGTGACCCAGACTGAAGACCACAGATAAAAGCAGTTGTTTAGCCGGGCTTGGTGGCTCATGCCTGTAATCCCAGCACTCAGGGAGGCAGAGGCAGATGGATCTTTGTGAGTTCCAGGCTAGCCTGGCCTACGAAGTGAATCCAGGATAGCCAAGGGCTATACAGAGAAACCCTGTCTTGAAAAATAACAACAACAACAAAAAGCAGCCCTTTCTCTCCCATGCAGGACCCAAGCTTGAAGAACCCAGGGGCTGATGTTACCTTTCAAGAACTTTGGAAACAGTGTGTCCAACACTTGATGTGTCTCCTTGACAAGAATCCAGCTTGCTTTCATAGGACCTGGTGGTGTAAAATCAGGGATTCTCACATCCTCAGTAGAACAGCTAGTCCACCCTTTCTCACCTCTGCTGTAATCAGCACTAGACCATGAAGCTCTTACCAGCCCGAACCTGGTCCCTCAGCTCCGCTAGCTCTCCTGGAAGTGGTCCATCTTCCTGGAGGGCTCCGAGAACCAGCCCATGAGTGGCAGCCCTTAAAACAGTCTCAGGGCCTGCATCTTGGCTCAGAGCAACCTGTACCTGGTCTGGGGAGACCCAAGGGACAAAGATCAGAAAAGAACTATTATTTCTCAAATGCCTTCAAGCCATCTTTCTGATTCACTCATGTGCCTGAGGCCATTGTAAACATGGATGTCCCCATTCCTTCCTTTCCAACTTCAATTTCAGTTGTTTCTTTAACCAAACTGAAATGCTTAGTTCGAAGTATGATTTCATAGTAGCTCTATGAGGTAATTTCTTTCACCAGTGAAAATTAATGCCTTTAACACAACACAAACAATCGGCAATCCTAAGGACCTGTTTCCCTCACAAGGACTCAGGGTAAGAGACAAAATGATCTCCAGAGGAGCCAACGGTCATAGTCTTTTCTGAACATGTTACGATGTATAAAGTCCTTTTTACAATCACCCTATTCAATCCTCACAAAAAGCCACAAGTAATAGGGCAACGTCTGTAGCTTCCTGTTATAGAGCAGTTCTCAGCCTTGTAATGCTGGGACCTTCACTACAGCTCTTCAAATTGTGGTGACTTCCAACTACAAAATTATTTTCATTGCTACTTCCAAACTGTAATTTTACTACTATTTATAAGTCATACTGTAGAGGTCTGATACACAGGATATCTGATCTGTTGAACCTGCAAAAGCATTGTTGGACCCACAAACGGGGTCACCACCCACAGGTTGAGAACCATTGTTATAGACAGTAAATTCATTAGGGCATGCACTAAAATTTCGGTGTGGAGCACTCTCTAGGACTCTAGGCAACCTCCAGACTATCCGGGAATTGGAGGCCTGGGGTCACAGAAACTGGGGAGGCTGGAGGAATGCAGCACACACTCACTCTGTGACTGGTTCCAGCAAAGGAGGTATGGTTCCTGATGGCCCTCAACCAGCTGCTTCAGCTCAGAGACACTGAGGGAGAGAAGAGCGCACTAGGGCCGGGGAAAGCAAGGCAGGAGGACCCACTTGGTCAAACTGTTGGCTTTAACTCTCTATTTGCCATTGACCTTCTCCTTGCTGCCCTTTTTTTTCCTAGCTACTACCTTTACCCCTCTCCCACACCTTCTTCCTTCCTGTATACAGTCCACCCGGGTGCACCCTTCCTTCCTCTGTAAGCATCTCTTTCACTGAAATTATTATTTACAGCTTTACATATATACATCATGCGTACTGACCACTTACACCCTCCCACCCCCTTCTCTTCCTTCTCCCACAAATCCCTCTCTCATATTACTGTCCATTTGTTTTGCTTTGTGGCCCCCTGAGATTAGCCAGGGCCTTCTTTATGACCACGGTCTTGGAGCTCAGCAGTGGATACATTCCCCTTCTCACAGAATCCATTAACAGATAAGTGTCCTCTCCCCTGGCTGGCCGGCCAGCTCTGTGTGGGCTTAGCGCAGGTGGCGACCGCTGTGCGCTAATGACTGCTGGGTGTGCTCGGTGAGGCTTAGTTTTTGTCAACTTGACACGACGTAGGGTCACCAGAGAAGAGGGAGCCTCGACCGAAGGCCTGCCCTGAGCAGACTGGCCTGTGGCTATGTCTGTGAGAGATTCTCCTGACTGAAAATTGATTTGGGAAGTCCAGCCCACTAAGAGAGACACCATCCATAGGCCAGCAGGCCAGTGTTCCACAAAAAAGCCAGTTGAGCATGAGCCAGTGAGTGAGCCAGTTAACAGCATGACTTTAGTCTTAGTTCCTGCCTGATTGATTATGACCGGGAACTATAAGCCAAATAAACCCTTTCCTCCCCAGTTGGCTTTGGTCACAGTGTTTATGACAGAAAGAAAAAAAAAAAAGGTAAAGCAGGTCATACCAGGCATAGAAAATGGCATCTCAGAGCTCTTTGCTCCATCTTCCATCCTTCCTACCCCCATGTTCTATGAGCCTTAGAGGGGATAGTGTAAGCGACTTGTTTCAGGGGGCCACATCTTTCATTTATTCTGTACATCTTGAGTGGCCATGAGTTTCTACATTCACCACCATTCACTGTAAGGAGGCTGAGGGGTGCTTTTGTCGGTGGGCATATTAGACAGGGTATTTAGAAGGCAGTTCTCTGCTGAAACATATCTACTCTCTTCTGTTCCCTGCTTCCCAACCTAAAACAGGATATACAGTGAGACTTGACCAAAATCGGTGTATAACTAAAGACAGGAGCGTATGTGGGAAGTGTGTGGAGCAGCAGGTACTGGGCCACTTACCTCGAGACCAAGTGGTGTAAGGGAGCACCCAGGGACAGAGATAGGGATGGCCAGAAACCTGTTGAAAGCTGGAGTCAGGAGGCTCAGGCAGAGGAGAAAGGCTGGGAAACACTGGGACACAGACCAAAGGGTTGAGTCACCTGTCCACAATGGCTCCATCTGATTGGCTAAAGCAGGCTCAAGCACCTCTCCCCTCTCAAGGAAGTGCTTTAGGACCAGTTGGAGGCGGCTTTCATTCAAGGTCTCCAGGACGATGGCTCGGACTGCCCGGTAGTTGGCATAGATGTGGAGAGCAGTGAGGAGGATGAAACATCCGAAGCTGAGGCTGGGGCAAGAGAGTGAGGTAGCCAACATACACAGGTAGAGGCTGAGCGGGGAATCTTCACCCTAGCCTCACTCCTGGCTTACCTTGGGCAATCTGATACCAGAGGAAGCATCAAAAGGCTGACCAGGAGCCCAGCGAGGTTCACCACTGTCTCCTGGAAAATAGAGAAGTTGAGCATTAGAGGGCTTCCTGTCAATCAGGAGGAATGGCCTCTGGTGGGTTTTTTTTTATTATAAACCTTACTGCTTTAGAACCAACCAGTGTTCCCTACCCTGATGGGAGAGCCAACTACATTTTAAATGTTTTGTTGAGTGAGCTGCTATTTAAAAGATGCTGGGGATGTCTCTGCTCAGTAGACACAGGACCCTTAGAACACCCTTGGGACACATCTTTGTTGTTTTCCATGACTCATCCAAATAACCTACACGGGGCACTCTTGGCTGTACACAACTAGTTCTACAGGGCATTAGAAAAAGTGGGTCCCTCTTAATCGTTTGGTATCCAATACTGGCAAACAAGGGACCCCAGGAAGGCAATGAACAGGCCTTGACCTTTTGCTTGTGGACCAGTGTATCCAGAGTCTTCTAATAGCTGGAATGAAGACACCCTAGGGAAAGAACCCTGCTGCCTGCCCCAATGCATTAGAGAAGAATGCACTGGGGTTCCGAACCATTGGAATTCTAGGGAAAGCTGGTCTTGACAGAGAGGACCCCTGAGGCTCAAAAGCTCTTTCTGCTCCCAGCTTTCCTTGCAAGGAGATAGGCTGTGGGGATACTGGCTTCATACGGAGTAGTAAAGGAGCGATCAAGGCGGCTGGGTGCTCAGAAGCAGAAAGGGCCTCTGCTTTCGTAGGTAAAGTCAGTCCTAGCAGCCATGTGAGGTTGCAACAATACAACATGAGCATGTGAGCATAGAAACTGGCGTGAAAGGAGCCAGGTTTCAAGGACGACTGGGGTTTTTCTTTATCTTGGCATCATCCAACAAACAGCATTCTCAGAAACAGAGCCACAGAGATAAAAAGGTGCGGTGTGGGGGCATAGGAACACACAGCTTGGCTGGGTGCTTTTTGGACTCTCCTCAGCTCGCTAGCCCACTTCCATTCTTGGTAGACCTTTACCCTTTGAAAATAATCTATTTCTAGTCTGTGCCTAACTTAAAGGATGTGACCTTTTCTCCATCTTCCCTTCTGGAGGCTGCTGAGACTTTTCATTTAACTTGTACTGTGTTTTTCTCTTAAACTCTAATAAAATTATCTTTGGGCTTCCCTCTTAGTCTGTTTCTAAAGTCCTTCACTCATGTGACTAAGAACCCCTAAAAGGAACCTTAGTTTCCCCGGTAACACGTGGGATCCAGGAAGGGGTCCCAAGGAGGTTCCTCGAAAGCCTCAGCTAACTGTTGTCCAAGATTCTCTTTGAAACATTCTGTCTCCAGGCTTTATCTTCTCTTCTGCCTCAGGCCTTGAAGCACACCTACATTCCTGGTGTGCCCACAAACTTGGGAGTTCTGTAGGGGCTGGAGGACTGTGATGGCAGAGCCCACTTTGAGGGCCCAGAGCCCAAGTGAGGGTGATGATGACAGAGCCAGCGTCTGCTTCCTCATGGGCCTGGCTTTCAAAGGTGGGATGTGGCTACAGGGTATGTGCAGGCAGCAGTGGCAGCCAAATCATGCGGGCAGGAAAAGAAGGCCGCTGCCCACAGGGTCCCCAATGGCACCGGCAGTCCACTCTGCCAGCATTCATTTATATATCCCAGGCTTCTCTGCATTCCCTTTGCCCTCCTCATCCTTTAAACCTTCTACACTTCTACCCACCATGAGAAGTGGCTCTGGACACAGAGGCTGCTGTGAGCTCTGTGCCTGACCCCAAGGGTCCAGGCATGCGGGGCCCAGGCAGGTTATCTTTATAGGACTGGAAGTACCACAAAAAGCATGTTGCGGCTTTAAATCAAGATCAACTCCATTTAAACAAAATGTTATCTGTATATTCCTAACAATTCTGGTAATGTTTTTGCTTTATAAGATCTATAAAATCAGACTGAGACCATGCCAAATACCTCATTCATAAACAGATTAAGAACTGGATCTCTAGATATTTTTTGGCAGAAGTGGATTATATTCATTATAATCTTGATAGTGGTAGACACTGTGTACTTAACAGTTGTTTTTACTTTATGTCTTGTTTATAGTCAATTCACACTCAGATGGTCCTGTGAAACTCTTAACTTCTGGCTTGAAAGTTTACAAGCCAGAAGGGAACCCCAAACTCCCCCACACCCTGCTGTATGCAATGCCGTCCCCAATTTCTCTTCCTTTTATTCCTGCTTTTGGTCTCTATTCATTAAGAAGAGGTCGTGATATCTCCCAGGCGTCCCCACCACTATACAATAAAGTCCTTGTAGGATCTTACTGCCTACAGCTTTGAATGCTGGTACCTGCAGGTGTCTCCAAGCTTACATTTCTGTTCTCTACAGGGACAATTCTAAGCAGGGACAAGGGCTTACAGTCTGGGGTTCTTAAGAGTGGCACTAGTAAAGGGTAATTCCAGAAGTGGGTGGTAATATGGCAACTTGTGGGTCCTGAGCCCTGATGCTCAGGAAACTCAAACTCAAATCTCTCTGCAGTGGAGATAACTCTGGAATCTACTGGTTCACCTCTCAGATGTTTTCTCTGTAACAGGAAAACATTTATTCCCAAGCAAAATGATCCTAGAGGTAAAATCCAAACAGACAACCGCACCCACTGTACTTTTAACCCACACTCTTTTAAAACAAAGAGCTTGAACCATTCGGTTTTCGGTTCTCTCCATTTCTGTTTACTTTTTAGAGAGTCTTAGAGACTGGATTCAACTTCAGCACAGGAGATACTTCCAAAATGCCGGCAGCAGAGATCCAATGGTCTGGGATGAGAGAGGGAGGAAGAGGTATGGGGAGGGGAACAAACCACTGTTTCTATTTCTTTGGGGCTATACTTAGGGGCTTATCCCCAGGGGTTTTAGGTAGCTGAAGACAGGATGCTTGGTCTCGGGCCCAGAGTGTACTCCCGAGGCTCTTGTGAGGCAGCAAGCACAGGAGGTACTTCAGCGTGCAGGGCTCCCACTTGGTTTTGGTTTATGCTCATCTGTCTCTTGTTATAAGGCACTCAATAGCCTGGCTCCTTCACCTGCACGCACTGCACACTCCATCCTGCTCCAAACACTGCACCTAGTGTCCTTAAAGAATGAAGATTTTGTTTTGTTAAAGTTTCTACTAAATGTGACAGGCTTCACATTTTAACTAAAGAACTGACTCTTAAGGCAGGTTCATTAAAAAAACAAAAACAAAAACAAAAACAACCTTGTCTCTGTTGAGCCTCTCTGATATATCCACCAATGTATTTTAAACTTGCCTTGATACATGTCTTTCTTTATTCTGCAAAACTATAAAAACTTCATAAAGTTGCTTCCATGTTGGGACATGGAATTTGGAGCAACCTAGTTCTGTGTTCCTGGGCTATGGTTACTTAGAATGGCTCCAGAATAAATTATCTCTTGTTTCCTTTAAGATGACAGCTGTGGTTTTAACTCGACAATTTCTGCCTTTCCTCACCCTGGCATCCTCTGACAGAGTGTATGTGAAGCGAAGCCTGCAAGCACACACGGGTGGGGCCGTGCAGACCGCACACTGTGTGCCCTGTATGGCTGGGCGCTTTCTGGACTCTTTCCCTAGCTTGCGTGAGCCGCCTACATTCTTGGGAGGGCTTTCTCCTTTTTTTAAAAAAGCTTTTTCTTTCCATGCCTAACTTAAAGGGTGTTAACCTTTCTCTATCCCTCCTCCCAGAGGCTGCTGGGATTTCTACCTAACCTGTGCTATGCATTTCTCTTATCTCTTACACTAATTACTCCTGACCTTCCTTCTGAGCGTCATGTCTCAGGCAGTCCGCATGTCCAGAAATGAGCACACTGGACTATAGACACATTTCTGGTGTTGAGATAAAAGCCAGCATTCCTCAGGACCTTGTAATACAGGTTTTCTGTTCTCAAAAAGAATCACTTCCCCTGCTTCTGGCAGAAGGGACACATGGCTCTCCACTGACACTCAGCCGTGGGTGGCACATCAAGTCCATGCTGACCTCCAGGCTCCTTAGTCTCTACGCACAAGTGCTTGTTATACATTTCAAAGCCCCTGCACTAGCACCCCCCACTCCTGCTACTCTCTCTATCCCCCTCCTGCTGTCTTTCTAGTCTCTATCTCTTGCTATCTCCACTATTCTCTCCTGCTCTCTCACCTGTCTTGAAGATAGCCCTGGCTATGTCCATTCTGCTGGCCACGTCCAGTCTACTTCCTCTCTCTTTGTTCCGGACTCTCCTAGATGTCTCTGGATATTCTCTCTCTTATTTACCTATAATAAAAACCTTCCTCCAATAATAAAGCAGTTGTTTTAGTAGTTTTTTCACTGTGCCCCTTCACATACACAGAGTCTGTTTCTAAATTCTTATATGAGTCTTATAAGTCTTCTAAATTCTTAATAAGTCTAAGAACCACCAAAGAAAACCACTTTCCCTGGAAACAAGCAAAAAGGAGGGGCTGGTTATGGGACTGGGTGAGTGGTCATAGCCCTTATAATGCATTCTGCCTCACTGAGGAAGCGTTACAGAAGCAAAGTTTGGGGCTCAGGCAGGATGGGGATCCAGGCAGAGCAAACAGGAGAAGCTGGGAGGTGCTGGAGAGAAGGGCCTGGCTTTTACTTACTTGGCTTAGTTCAACCATTTCCTGCGAGGAGGGATTTGCCCAAGGGTGGACTCTGGGCCTTTCTGTACTTGGTCACAATGGGTACAATAACTTTGTAAGAACTAATGAGTTCATGGAGAGGACACACTGGCATGTGACTTCTGCTTTACAAATATTAGGAGTACTGAGCAAAACAATGTGAGACTAGGCAGAACAGGACTGGGTAGAATGGGTTCTTAACCTGATTCAGTGTCAACAATTACAACAAGAAATAAACAAGTAAACAGCAACAGAATCAACCCTTCACATTCCTAGACCTGACCAGACCTTCTGTTCCTCATCTGTCTGACAGTGATAATAGTGTCGACTTCACAGGGTGGGTGTGAATTAAATGACAAAACCCAGAGAGTACTTAGCACAGAAGTTTGGGGGACAGTCTCATACCTGTGGAGTTCAGTCTTAGGGATGCCCCTCCCAGCCCCATTCTACCCGATTCCCTCAGTCAGAAGAGGGTACTGGGCCAGAGGACCTTCCAAATTACTAAGTGAGACCTCTGGCTGGCGACCCTAACAACCTCAACTTGCCAACTGTGACCAGGACATCCAGCTCCCAGGGAGGGATATGGCCTACAGAGGGCAAAGGTTCGCTCTTGGTCACAGAGGCAGTGAGCAGGGGCTGCCATCATCTTGAACTTGTCTCCAAGACTGCAGTCAGCTCTGACCCCACCCCTGAGGGACAGCAGGGGCACTGCAGTTCTCCCTGTATGTGCCCTCCTCACCTTCTTCCCAGGGGCACTCAGAGGCCTCTTTCCAAACTTTCAAGCTGTGGTCTGCCCTGCCCCCTCCTTCCCCCCTCCCCTCCCCCCACCACTTCCCAGTGTTTGATGCACACCTGGCTACTGTCCTTGGCTGACACATCAGCCATGTTGTTTCTTCGGGCCTGATGCATAGTCAGTGCAGCTCGAGTGGCCCCACCAGCCACACCCACAATGCACTGGGCAGGAAAAAGAGAAGAGTGAGGGTCAGAGCAGCCAACTGCTGTGGAAACACAGACCCTTCTGTGGGTGAGCACATAAATAACTCACAGCAGCCAGAGAAAAGCAGGTCTCTGGTGACACCTCCCCTCCAGCAAACTCCAAACCCAGCCCTTGGCTTTTAGTTCTTGCTTCCATGGCTGAAGGCACATGTTCCCCACCTTGTTCCAAGAGAAAACGAAAGTCTCGCCTGCCACCACCACCCTGTGACCCCGACTATAAGGAATTCCAACTTCCTTTCCCCAAAGACCTTTTTTCTTGCTATGCAACCTAGGCCACCCTAGAACTTGGAGCAGTCGTGACTCAGAGTCCAGAATGCTAGGCTCGCAGGTGTGTGCCTCTGCAGAGATCTTCCGTAAGCCATACCTCCCCTCTCCAGCTTCTCCCTGACTGAATGATGGGTCCAGGTGGGTCTCCACCTTCCTGCTTCCATTCTACTTATAATCCTTTCTTCCTCCTGGCCAGGTTAGCTCCACTTAGCCTGTCAGGCTGATCCAAGCTTACTCCAGCGGCCCTGGATTAAGGCCCTTACATCTCTCCTGAGATCTCTAGATAGCAAAGGCCATCAGCTAGAGCTACTGCTAACTTTGTTCATCAAGTCTCTTCTAGATGACACAGAATAATACACTGTGATAAAATCAGACAGTTTCTTGATGGAACTTATGTATAGCTATAAAGGTGAAGGAACTGATTTGTTCACAATCAGGAGAAAAGTGGTATAAGATGAGGCTTGAGTGGCTGCCAGGGAACAGTATGGTTCTGAGTAGAACCTCGAAGTCTTTAAGGTCCCCAAAGAACAATGGGTCAGATAAGTAACCTAATTAGATTTCCACCTTTACTATTTTTTGATTAAAATATGCATTTACTGTGTATGTGGGCATGTGTGGGATGATGCATGCATGCATGGAGGTTGGAGGAGAACTTGTAGGAGTCCCTGCTTTCCTTCCGCCATGCTGGTTCCAGAAACTGAACTCACATTGGTAGTCACCACCTTGCTGGCCCACTGACTTCCACTCTCTCAGAGCTGGGCTGGTTAAGGACTAAAGAGGGATGAGACCACCTAGGGAAGAACTTCTCCAGCAGAGGTGCTGGCAAGGAGACAGGCGGAGCGGATGGAAAGGAGGAGAACTGTGAAGAACAGCAGGTAACAGCTGATGGGGAGGAGGTATGGACGACAGCCACCTTTACTGCTGTAGCTGTGGATGGAGCACTGGCCACAGAGACCGAAACTCTGTCGACAGCGATCTTCAGGAGAAAGACCATGCCTTGCTCTAGCACAGTATTTGACACATTTGGGCTAGTTCGCTGCAGAATTTGAAAGACACAATCCTCAGTCCACAGCTACAACAGTGTTTCTCTCGGGGGCTTCCTACCTTGGTAACAAAAACAGGGGTGAAGGGTAAGGTGTGTGTAGCATTTACTGCTAAACAGAAAGACTGCTTTACCCCAAATACCCAAGTGCCTGGTGACAAGATGCTGCTTGGATGTGGTGTTACAGACAGGCCTGTGAGATGTACTCAGTCTTGGAGCTTCACTGTGTTCCACATCCCTGACAGCAGTGAGCTTTTCTTCCTGACCTCACTAGGCTCTGTTTCCCCATCCGAAGGAGCTGTGAGCCCCCATCACAGAAGGAAAGCTTTCATTTGCTTCAGGGGTAATTTGTGGTATTGCTGTGTGTGGCTGCTTGGTCCCAGAACACCCTCGCTCCAGCATAAAGTCCTCTCCTTCTTCAGGACTCAGCTCAGGCGGGGCCTTTCTACATCTCCAGACCACTCCCCACTGGTATACCCAGAACTGTAACCCCATAAATATTTGTGTAATTATGTGTCATTTCCTTTAAAGATGGGAGAGTTTGTGGCCTGTGTCATCCATGCAGGGGGCATTACAAAGATGTTATACTCAAGAATGAAAAGTAGCAGGAAGCTAGCCCCACACCACCGTGTCAGAGTGATCCTTCACCTCTCATCTCAGAGCGCTCTCACTAGTATGTGTTCCAACATGGCCTTGCACTGGCTGGCTGAGGTACGAGGACTATCTGGTCGAAAGAGGATCAGAAAACTTGTCTGTGTCTGAGTAGAAACATAGGAACTTTGCCCCCCCCCCTTTTTTTTTGAAGTGCCTTCAGTACAGGCCCAAGTAAGCCACACACAGCATCGTGAAGGATAGAAGTGCCCCAGATGTGGGTACCTTGGCTAGGTTGCTGGTACTGACAGTCATGGTGAAAAAGATTGGATACATGGGAGCCATAATCTCTAGGAACATGGCTATATCATTGAGGATGTCAGCAAAGAGCCTAGGGAAAGGAGCAGAGGTTAGAGGTCATAAACAAGAGACTTTACAGCAGGTTTCTCCCTCCTTCCTCATCCTCTCCCCTCTCTCCCATCCCTTCTCACCTCCACTGCTTTGCATTACAGTCCAATTTGCTCCTGTTGGGGATAAGAAGTTGTTGCAATTTAGAACGAAGAGAAAATGCTGTGGGCTATAAGGGATCTAGGTCATGGTGAGGTCTTAAGGGCTCAGGGTAGAAATAAAGCGAAGGGACTCTGGCCAGCTCAGGTATGGCAGCATGGCTCTGGCAGGCCTGGCCCTCCTCCCCCATTCCCTCCGCCTTGCTAAAAACCATTAGACTACATTCCTAAAGTTAACCAACAAGGTCTAGTCCCTTATTTGGCCACTTTCTCCTCCTGAGGATGACTACCACCAAAAGCCCCCTTTGGCTTTTTAAACATGCCCAATTAAAACGAAACACCTCATTCTAACATGGGGTTTCCCCTTTTATCTTTATAAACCACCATTTGCCTAAGGGCCACATCTGTCTCCTCTCTATCCTGAGGCGTCCTTTGTCTCCAGCACAAACACCCCCGTGACCTCCCCCTTTGCTCCTTTCCCGTCTCCCTCATCCTCTATCTCCTGTCTCTGTCTCCTATCCCCTGCCCTTTGTCTCTCTAGGACAAATAAACCCCCTTTGTGCTGAGAACTTGGCCTTGGGGCCCTGAGGAGATACAGGGGAGAACTTGGC